CACACACACACACACACACACACTTTAATGTAAGGGTATTTTCTTATGTGCAACTAAGACTTTTCAAAATCCCTATCTCAGCTCTTCCCAGTGCTTCAGAAGAACAGCATTTATACTTTCCAGTCAGTTACTTTCCTTATATCACCGTCCCTGGGTTTTCTGTAAACCTATCATCTGGGTTTCTTCTCATTTCTTCCTCTTTTCTAAACTCAGCACTGGCACCTTCCTACTGCCTTCCAGTTTCACTTACATTTACTATGTTAACATCCTTTCTCATGTTCCTGGCCAGTTAGAAAAGCATTAAAAATGGATTTCTCCCCATTCATACTCTCACCCCAACTCTTTAAACAAAATAAAAGAAACCTAGATAACTGTAAATACCACTTTGTGGAGCTTTCATGAGAGTGGTGCAATGCTGGTGTGATGTCATTTTGCAAGATTATGCTGAATGTATTATTTGCAATCAGCCAATTATGCTTTAATATTAGGTGATAGCTTTTCTGGCTCCAGGTTGTTGAGCTGGAGAAAGTTTAACGCAATGTAATGTCATTCTGAAGGTCTCTGATTGATGTCTTTTTGATTACCTACCGGTACTTACAGAGAATGTAAATGTCCTACAACTTCACTGAGCATCTGGTCAAGGAAGACTGCAATATACGATTGATCATTCAATATGTTATTAGTTTATAGGGGAAATAATTTGCATTAATAGTGTTACAGTAGCGGAGTGCTTATAATTAAAATCTTTATTATGCTTTATTTATTATTCATTTTAGATTGTTTTAAACTTATAAAGGAACAGTTTACAATCATTAACTCTTGAGAAACACACAGATGGAATAAAGATGAAATAACATTGCTGCCCAGTCACAAGTTTGAGATGGGCAACTATACAAATTGAATAAATAAATAAGCTGCATAATATAATGATATTATGATTTAAGGAATCATTAGTCTGAAGTCACTCATTGAAGTTTGTGAGCAATTTCAGTAGTTTAAAAGGGTTTAAGCATTTACTTGAAGTTTACTCTGACATTGTGGATGCGTATATGATATTTGAGCCTCACTGGTTCTCTGAATACTAAGAAAGAACATACTGGATATTCTTTTTATTAATGATTGATATGCAAGCATTAAAAGAGCCAAATCATAAATGTATTATATAATTTAGTGCTTAATTTATTAATGATTGGTTTGTTCATTTTTAATGTGTTTATTGCAGGAAAAAGTAGAATATGCCTTCTTGATTATTTTTACAATTGAAACATTTTTGAAGATTGTAGCATATGGATTATTATTACACCCCAACGCATATGTTAGAAATGGATGGAATTTACTGGATTTTGTAATAGTTATAGTAGGGTAAGTACAATTTTTAATATTTCTAAGCAATTAACACCTAAAAATGTTTCTATTTTATGTATTTCCTATAACATTCAAACAAGGAATCTGTAATTATCCTTCTCTTCAGCTTTATGAGATTGCAGTGTTGTCAAATATTTAATTGCTTTGCAAGTATTTCCCAAATAGGAAATCTAATCCTTGAATATATTCCCCTTGCTCTTTAAGAGGACACCACTGAATTTTATATAACAACATCCTTTAGTAAGGTTTATATAAACACATACTTAGAATTGTTCTGTATAATGTTTTTCTTTTACAGAAATAATATCTGCATAGCAAGCCATATATGTGTATTCTGAGGTGTGAAATGTAGCACAAGACAGATTCCTTCCTGCCAAAGAGATCACATAGTACATGAGAGGAACGTGTGGTTCTTATGTACACTTTCCCATAATTCCCATGATCCCTATAAGGGGAGACTCAAGAAAAGTTTAATGAAAGTTCTGTTTGGTAGAAATAATTCCAGTAGCCTTGTCTTGGAATACTGTATCAGAATAATTAGTACGCTTTTTCCCCCCAGACAATGTAGATTATTTAAATGAAAGTGGCAAAAAAGAGGAGCTATTAAGAAACAAATCTTTCACCAATGAATAGTTTGCAAACATTTAAAATATTATGCTGCATTCTGAGTGATATTGCTTGAATCATTGTTTTGTGTGGAAACTCTAGTCCAAAAGATA